GCATAGCGTAGCTGGCACATGATGTAATTAAAAATTGCATTTCGCAGAAAATTTAATGGCTTGCTTCTCTAGTCGGGGTAATATTAATGTCCATTAGCTTCGAGTTTCTTCGAACTAAGTCCATCAATTGAAATTACGTACTGTAAGGCGTGTAATTGTAGTATTGCGAGTCGATTGTATTTGGGTGGTGAATAGTAATATATTCGATGAAGACTAAATGCCTCTAGAATAATAACAGAGTTGCCTTAATTAAATTATTTTAAGTTATGCCGCGGCCGGCGGGCCGCATTTTCGTATACTGATCGCGTACGCGCAAATTTAATACGACAAATTTATCGACGATAATGTTAGACTATAAGCCAAGAATGTTTTGTATTTTATTCAGAATAAAAGGAAACGTATTTCACAAAAGTGTTACTTGAAACGACTCCCTTGATGACCTTAATCGACCGTATTATTAAATCGGCCTCGCATAATATTCGTATTTCTGTTCAATTTTATGCTTTATTATCCGATAGCTTCTATATAGTTCAATATCCACTTGACAGCACTAATCTATCAATTAATACAATAAAGCTGAAATAGTTTTGCTCCTCGTATACACAATAAACGCGTGAACATTTTTTTCAATTATCTGGAGCTATTACAAGCATTATTTCCCTTCGCAACGATAACATCATTTTTATAATATATTAATCGCTTCTGTGAAACCAGTTAGAAAAATTGTTATTGTAAGCCTACTGACTTATATGTGCTACGTCGTTACGATCTGCGCTGAATTTCAAGGTACGTACCTAAATAGTGATATTATATTGGCCTGATGTTAGATTGATTTGGAATTCCTTCCTTAGCACATAGGTAAATTATAATACTGTAATAACAAGACTTTTCCTCGTTGTGCTGAACAAATTTTAAGGGATTCTACACCTCGATGTTTTTAACCCTTTATACTTCTGGAGTTTTTTTTAAATTGGAAATACTCATTTTCTAATGAGTATACTAACGACGTTTTTTCAAATTGACTTTGAAATTTTACATAAATTGAGGAGCGACACTGTTTTCTTTCAGTATCCACATATCGATGTATTGTACAAGGTTATTATTTACTTACTTAATATTAAAAATTCGAAAAATGGAGTTGATCGATTTGGCCAATGATCAGCTCATATATTGACAAGTACTCGATCAAAGTTCTAGTTGAATTAAATGGGAACTCAATTGATGTATACCTTAATCTTAGAGGATCAACGATTGCAGTATAAAAGGAAGAATTAAGCTGAAAGTAAACTACTATCAATCGATTTTATTTACACCAATGATAACCATATTCGGAATTAAAGTATATATTGAAGATAGCTACGATATGGACAATTCTAAAAAATTTATTCGTAAACAAATACAAATCATGGTGTTCCAACTTCATAAAATTTAATCATTTATATTAACAGTTTCATTCTTTTACAAGTACACTGAACTTTTGTTACACGATTTTGATTCATCGAGTTATTTTCCTCTTTTCACATGATCTGTTTCATCTAACTCAATCACCTAGATTTTAACATAAATTTTCATTATTCTATTATTTTACTAATCATTTAGGTAGAATATATTTATCGTATAGAAACGAATTCGACGATTCTTTTCATTTGATTATATGCCTCGTTGCAGTTCGTACTAACTAATCCCGATCAAATTTTATAATATCCAGATCAATAGATTTCATTGGTCACTTTAAGATGGGTACTCATTTGTCGTTTATTGAAACAGTCTTTTAACGCATTGCGAAAGAAATATAAAATTTAATTCGAATTGATTATCTATTTAACCCTTAGTACTTCACACAGTTTTGTGATATGTCAGTAACTCCTACCAATTTTGGTAGTAGTCCTACTGAAAATTAACAATTTTATAACATTTCTTAGACCTTTAATTCCCTTCTCGGTACAAACTTTGTATGTTTGAAAGATTTAATAATCTTAAGGTAGTTTTCTTAAAATTTATTAAAATATTTAGTATTAGAACTGGTGCAATATTGGAGCCTACAAAGTTCAAAGAGTTAAAATATTTTACATAACAATATGACATCTGAGTTTTTCTATGTATAGTGATATAAGCTGACCTCAGTGAAAATTGCCATCCGTACAATTCAGTTTTCTGAAAATTGGCCGGTACGCAATGTGTTAAGCGTATAATTCTATACCTTAATTCTATCAGAAGGTAATGAACTGAAGATAAACAGTCGCCAAGAACGCCAACGTTCGTATAATATTTATCTCGAAACGCCGACTATCGGCGATAACGGAAAGGCAAACGATAAAAATAATTAGTATCGTTGTTACATCTGTGATTTATGCCGAGAGTTATAAAACGCTAACGAACATTGATACTTCCTTGCAAGTGTGATTCAAATCCCAAAATACGTGAAAGCACGTAAAGTGTTGAAATTACGTTAATTAGTGGTATCATGGTGCGTAAACTGTGTTTACTCGCATTCCTCTCGGTAATTCTCAGTATTGAACAGCTTGAAGGCTCGACGATTCTCAGGGAACCCCAAAATGACGTCGATCATGATTCATACAGACTGCTCGAAGGAATCGTGCCAATTTCTTACGACCTCTGGCTGTACACGCGACTGGGTTTAAATGACTTCGACTACCAAGGGCGGGTGAATATAACGTTAAGAGTAAATTGTTCGACTGACGCCATTGTGGTTCATAACGACGGTTTAATTATATGGGAAGAAAAATCGAAACTTTATTTACAAACTGATGGAGGGACAAATTTAACTGCTGTTTCTATCGATAATCAGCTTTACGACAACAGGAGGCAATTTTTCATCCTGAAGTTACCGACGAAATTGTCACCCGGTATATACGTGTTAGAACTTCAGTTCGCCGGTGAAGTACGCGATGACGTGTTTGGGTTTTATAGAAGTTCTTATGTTAAGGATGGGGAAATAAGGTAACGATTAGTATAGAACTTTCTTTAACTGAGCTTTCGTTATTTGGATAGTAAATAATTAAAGTTTACCGACCGACAGCATAAAAGTGGAAATTCTCGAATAATTTGGGTAGAAAGAAATAGCCACTGCTTATTAGAAATCATTTTTATCGTACTCTGTACGGTTTCATGTAGCATACGTATGAATACCCCGGGAAATAAAGTTTTTTTTAATGTCGAACATTTATTTATTCGCTGACACGTGTTCTTATCTAGAATTATACACTTCAAGTACGGTAGGCTTTATCGCGATGATCTGTTGTCGACATCTTCATAAATTACAAAATATTTATTTCTAACTAGAATTTGAAACATTTTTTACCTAAATGGTGAACAATCGATTCTACGAAAATAATGAATTTATAGATGGATGGGAATTACACAATTTTCGCCTGTGTACGCGCGTCGAGCGTTTCCATGCTTGGACGAGCCGAAGATGAAGGCAACGTTCACCCTTCACATTGGCCACGTTAAAAATCAAATGGTAACGAGTAACACTCCCGTCGCGACTACAGTCAAATATTCGTAAGTCTTTTTCACAGTAATTTGAAAAATATTTAAAAAGTTCTTTTGTTACTTTCATCACTGTTATTGTCGTGTTCTTATTTAATATGTTAAGTGAGGCGTTGGTTATTATCATTCTTAGAATGCCCATGGCATTCAACGTGTTAATGTTCTGCTCTAGACAAACAAATTAATATTCAGTTACAAGAATGTCACAAACTACTATCTAACCATATTCTCACCAATACCACAAATGTTACATTCGAAAGTTTGTCACTAGGAATGTGTAACATTTCTCAATGAGATATAAACGACATTCTTTGGAACTAGTAAATAAAAAGTTATTTCAATATTCCATATATCGATGCGTTATATAAAGCATAAGGTTATACATAAGACTACAGTTTCGCTATATCAAATCTAGTGGTGACTCAGAGTCATCTTTCGAGCGTAAAGGGATAATATTCTATTAACATTCGGCTATAGACAAACAAATTAATATTCAGTTATGGGAATGACACAAACTACTATCTAACCACATTCTCACCAACACCATGGATATTCACTTACTTTGTTGGCTTTGTTAATATTGTATTAACATTCCGTTGTAGACAAACAAATTAATATTCAGTTACAGAAATTACACAAACTACTATGTAACCACATTCTCACCGACACCGCGAATGTCCACTTATTTAGTTGGCTGGGCAGTCCACGATTTCGTTCCGGAAACAACAGCGTCCTCGACGCTGAATTTTAAGATGTGGACGCGACAATCGATGCACAGACGCGGGTCCATCGCGTTGAATCAAGGTGTTTCGATATACTCTTTCCTAAGGGACTGGTTGGCCATCGAGAATCCAGTCCCGAAAATGGACCAGATCGCTGTACCCGATTTCAATTTTAACGCGATGGAAAATTGGGGCATGATCACGTACAGAGAGTCTGTGGTTTTGCACGAGAATGCTGTCACACCGACACGGTACATGTACAATGGATTAACCACGATGGCCCATGAGTATGCTCACACTTGGTTCGGGAACCTCGTCACTCCGTCATTTTGGAACGTAGCCTGGCTCAAGGAAGGCTTCGCCTCGTATTTTCAATACTACGCTCTGTCCATTGTGCAGCCCACTTGGACGATGATGGACAAATTTGTCGTCGACATGCTGCAACCAACGCTGGCTATGGACTCCGCGAATCACACCAGAGTTATGAACGGTCGTAATGTGGAAAGCCCTAAAAGTATCATGGCCGTATTAGATTTTGTTTCGTACAAAAAAGGTACGCTTGATTACACTGAACTACAATATTTATCTTTTCCTCCGTCACAGAAGGTTTAACCAGTTGCGCTGGAAAGACGTGCCACGCACGTCGAGACGTTTCTGTTGCAAAATTCTCAGTTATATCTATCACACATTGACAATCTTGTTGCATTACGCCTATTAGATTGTTTCGAAATGTATCACTCTGTACAGAATGATTAACAAACAAAATTGGTGTACATATCAGCGTAGAATAGGTAAAAACGAAAATCATCGCGCGAGACATTGCCAAATCTTTGAATTCATTTGCAGCGCAAGTGGTTAATGGGTGATATTAATAGTATTATGCTGAATTCGAATATCTAATCAATTCTTCTTCGTCGACCATAGTTTTTGAAAAGATCAATTTTTCAGGTTTGAACGTTTGTCGTTCCTTAATTAGGAAAATGTTGCAAACTTTTCTTACATAGTATTATTCTGTAAATCTTCCTGAACAAAATGATGTAAATTTTAATAACATTAAAAATGTTTAAATATGCTTAAGCAATACCGAAACGCATTGACTTTTCGGACATTTTTCAATTTATCCTAAAAACTAAGTCATAAATCATTGTTTAGTCCATGGAATAATACTGTGCAAGAGAAATTTGAAAAATATTCATAATTGTGGCGTAACGAACTTTATTCTTTTCAATAGTGTTCATTTTAATCCTCTCCCGTAATTTTCGGAATTATATTTTTATTGTAAAACAAATGTATACTTGTTGTAGGAGCATCAGTGATTCGAATGCTCGCACATGTAACTGGGGAGTCAGCGTTTCAGACTGGTCTACGAAGTTATTTGAAGGATCTGTAAGTTTTCGTAATAATTTCATTCGTGAATTAAAAGTTTACAGTGCAAAAATACTTACATAAATCAAGCTGCCAATAAAACAAACAGAATCGTCGATTGTAAATAAACAAAACATAATATAATAGTACATAGAATAAAAATGACCAACATTAACGATTTATATTTTTCAAATAATTGCAAAGCCTCAACAATGCGATAAATTGCAGCGTAAAACTTCATAAATTCAAAATTGAAGATATTTTCATATTTCATATTCTTTTCAAATACATGGTAAACGTTAACAGAGTATTTGCATCTTCATTCTCGAATGATACACATATTACAATAATGAAAACGACTATTCCATTACCCTAATATAAATATTTTTCTACATCCCATTAACCCTTCGGGTACACATTTATTTGAAAATTTGTTTGCACTTGGAGCACATTTAATTTTGTGAGCAAGTAAAAGCGATATATTTTATACACGAATTAATTTATTTCGTATTATTCATTATGTATACTCCTACATAATATTGGAATAACTTCAGGCAGTTACATAAGAGTATTACAAAATACTCTTAAAACAAATAAACTGTGGTTATAATAAATAACAAATTATTAATAATTTTCATCTAATTTTTCACGAGAAGATTCACTACCACTGCTTGATAAGCATCTTGTACGTCTTTTACGTCTTGGAATAATTTCACTATCGTTATTACTTTCTAGTTTGATATATTCTTCATTATCTTCATTTTGAAACTCCCCTTTATGGCTTAAAGGATCATTAAAAATTCTTCATCGGATTGTTCAAGATCACTACTTTCATTAAAACTGTCGCTATTACTTTGATAATATATATTCTCTATTTCTGCCATTATGGGGTTGTGTATCCCAAACAAGGTTCAGTAAAATACTGAAATTATTTGTTCTGTTGCAACAAATACGCATTACTTTGAAATAAACCAGAGTGAACTAGTTAAATCTCGGCTCAGTTTAGTCATGTGCGACTATGCCCAAACAAATGCATGACATTCTGATATGTCAAATGTAGCCAAAGAGTTAACTCAGATAATCGATGTTCTATTTGATACTATCTTATTGCAATTCAGATCATACGAAGCAGCTACTCCGTTCGACTTGTACGAACACCTACAGTCTTCTATGAATATATCTAGTCAACTGCAAACCAACATTTCAATAAAAACCATGATGGAGACATGGACAAACCAACCAGCTTTCCCTTTAGTAACAGTGACGCGAGATTACAAACGGCAGACTATTTCCGTATCTCAAAAACGATTTTGCGAGAATCTCGATCAGTGCGATCGCGAAACGGATAAATGGTGGGTGCCATTAAATTTCGCTAGCAGATCGTCGCTTGCTGATTTTTCTCATACGACCGCAAAGAGTTGGCTCAAACCGGAAGACAAAAGTTTGACTATCGGACCGTTCGCCTCAGAGGACTGGGTTATCTTCAACGTTCAACAAACTGGATATTATCGAGTGAACTATGACGAGAAGAATTGGCAACTGCTCATTGATTATTTGAACTCGAAAGATTTTAGAGGAATACACAAAGTAAACAGAGCATCTCTGGTAGATGACGTTTTCAATTTGGCCAAAGGTGGATACATCGATTATTCGATTGCATTCGATCTTTCGAACTACTTGGTCCAGGAATTTGACTACGAACCTTGGCTCGCTGCTGTCAACAACTTTAAGTTCTTGAATAAAATGTTAAGTAACGTACCGGACGCGCAGCGAGCTTTTCAGGTAAGCAGCGAATTTCGTCGTCTAAAGATTTACACTGATCGTAACAAATATATGAGCTGCTCATTGGACAAATCGATTAACTACACTTTTGAAATTTTTGAAGGTTTTATTATTACAGCGTTTCGTTGACTCTTAATTTTTAATATTTAAAATGAACTCCATTAGGACTGGATTGGCTACAACGAAATAATAAATCTTTCGTTTATGTAAAAATTGTCTAAAATTATCTACGTCCGTCATGCTAAAATTTTCGTTTTTTGGGATCGATTCGATTCTACTCCTTTATAACTGCAACCTTTCGGTCCCGTTGAGGGATTATCCAATTCACTGTATTCACATATATTTTTAACTTGCAGTGACATTCAAAAGTTCCAGGCCAGATCGTTTTTGGAATGTCTCTTCGACGATATCAACTTATTAATAATTAATTCCATTTGCCTTCGTTATGGAAGATTAATGAAATATTACACAAATTCAAGATTCTCGTGACGGTCAACGTATTAATCAGTTAACTCTGCTCGACGAGTATACGCGTCGTCTTAAAATCAAAATGAAACTAATTCTCTGAACGATAAATTCTTTATTTTTTCCGATACACATGCAATTCTTCTTCGTTCTGTTTGAACTTTTCGTTCGAATATGTTATAGACGCATGCAAAATATACACTTCATTATCTTATTCTTTTGCTGGAATAATCAGAGATTTCTGAAATTCAATTCTACGGTTAACACACTGCGTACCGGCTATTTTTCAGAAAACTGAATCCTGCGGATGGCAATTTTCACTGAGGTCAACTTATATCACTATCCATAAAGAAACTCAGATATCATATTGTTATGTAATATATTTTAAATAGATAATCAATTCGAATGAAATTTTATATTTTTTTCAATGCTGTGGTAATTAGCGAAGTTGCACAGCTAAGTGTCTTTATATAAAAACGAGATTTCTCGTTACCAGTACGCAATGTGTTAATATAATAAATAAGGATATATTTACATGGATGAATACCACAACAGAAACCATACTATTTCGTGTTCATAGTTGAACGTTTAAAGAACAACTAAATTGGCGAGTTCGAAAGTTTATTATTATTATTTATCATTTATTCCCAAACGAATATGTATAAAGAATAGCTGGTGTTGATTTTTTTACAGTATCCTCTCATGCGATATGTCCTTTAGATGTCATAATAACAGAAAGTCCTTAAAGTCTTTATTCCGTAAGAAAAGCTCTAAAAACGATCTGACTGAGAACTTTTGAACGCTACTGTATATACACAACTTTATTGCAGAATCACGTAGAAGGTTTACTGGGCCCAATTTACAAACGATTAAGTTTCGATGAATCCACAAATGACGATGTGGTAGTGAAGTTACACCGTGAGCTTATTTTATCGACTGCTTGTCTCGTGCGCAACCCTCACTGCTTGAGGATGTCTCAAAGTCTGTATGAAAAGTGGACATTCAACGAACGGTACGTGTCAAGCATTCTCTATTATTTTAATAAAAATAAATGGTTACATGTTGTAATAGTATATATTGTATGTTTAATTTCTTAAGACAACACTTTATCGATTAGTCGATGCGTTTTATTTCGGTTGATGTGTATTATATCGATGAAATTTAATATTTTGAAAGGAAATATATGAAGTAAAAATTTATTCTAAAAAGATGCATTATTTTATAAATAAAACAAAGAAAGAACGAAGTGTATAAGGTCAACAATTGTCGAGACAGAAGAATTCCATGAGTATATCTTAAACGTCAAAACGTAAAAAAGTGAGGTCAACGTATTTAGACATTTGTTTCGCTGATATGCACTAAAAGAGTCACTATGGTTTTATAAGAAAGAGGAATACATAATGCCAAGATTGACAATGTGACAACATATTTATTTTTAACAAATGTTCCCAGTATAAGTGCGTTAAAATCTTAATAAGGCTAATTATTTCATATCATTTATATTAAATGGTTTCTCTTTGAAAGTATTAAAATATTACAGCATTTGTTTATATCGATAAAATTGTGATTGTTTATGTCGACTGTCTGCATCCTGTAAATCTTGTTCTAACTGAAATTCATTCCGATCTAAAATATTTTTTCTTTGGGCATAATTTATTAATTCATGATCATCCAGCTAACAGTATGTATTAATTAAATAATACTTGTTTAACCCTATGCGCTCCAGAAGTTTTTCACTGAAAATATTCGACATTTCATTTCAAAATTTCGCATATCGATGCATCGTACAAAATGTAAATATAAAATATAAAACTTTACAATTTTCCTGTGTCTAATCACTTGGCGACTGAGCGACGCCTCTGAAGTGCACAGGATTATACGAAACTTCGTTTTATCAATTCTATTGATACAATGTGCAGAATATTGCAAGATGCCAAAAGTTTCGTCTACTGCGAGGGAATACGTAGCGGCACCGACAGAGATTGGTACAGGATGTTAGGAAAATGGATGCTGACCGATCTTCATACCGAACAGGAGCTGCTACTGCAAGCTCTTGGCTGTACCAGAAATACACATTTAATCGACAAGTAAGCTTCCGATATCAGTGGATTCTTCAAAATATAAGAATATGGTTAAAACTTCTTGTGGTACCAGTTTCATTGTAACATTAACGATTTTAACCTTTTGCGGTCCGAAGTGCTCTTGGTTTCTCACTTTGAGGTTCACGTCGACGTTAGTTCATTCAATTACAGCTTAATCCTTTGCGCACGAGGATTCTTCGAAACAAGCAAAACCTTCAACATATGAAGCTACATTGTATACCAATTACTTAATTAATAGAAAAAGAGAAAACTACGTGCTAATTTCTTGCTGTTCGACTAACTAGATCATTTGTCCACGACTTAGTCTACCAAATCTAAACTTTTCATCTCACCGAAATGTCGACATCCGTCCGCGAAGGGCTAATATGATGCTCTATTTATTTATTCAAGAATATTTTTGGGAGTCATTGAAATGTTACCTTCAAATGGTACAATCGTGATACTACTTAGCTATTTAAATTTTCGAAACGCAGGGCAATATAGAATATTGTAAAAGCAAAATATTCAAAGTTACATAAAAGATATGTTCAAAGTTTCAGTTCGATTTATTATGTATAAATAAAGTATATCGGAGTTTATTTAGATTGTTTCACTTTCATATTTAATTACGGAATAATAACCGGTGACATGGAATAGCTACTGCGTAAAATCATCGGTCAACAATGTGTTAAATACTTGGCATCGCTGTATTGATTGAAAAACTTAAAAAATGAATTACAACAAATCCCCATAAATCCTATCATTATTTTTTTTTTCTTGTTTCTTTTTAATATAATGCAAATTGCTGATATATATATATGTATAACAAAAGAAACAAGAAAAAATATATATCAGCAATAACAAACCGGTTCCATTATATACCTATCAGTACTAAAAATTGGAAACTCTTCTACAGATATCTTGCGATGACGTTATCAGAAGAACCGAGGGTCCGTAGTCAATACAGAATCACCATAATCAACGCTGTTTTGGAAGGAGACGTGCAAAATGTCAACCGTGTATTGGAATACCTGCGACTTAATTTACAAAAAATTATTAGCCTGTACGTAATATCCGACCGATCATTTGTAATTGCAATGTCATTGGTTCGAGACTGCTTCTGAGTACGATTTTCGATTTTTTCAGGAGGAGTCACAGTTTTCTAGGAAAAGTGATTACAGCGGTCGGGAACGCGATTACTTCGAAGGAACAAGCAGAACAGGTATTACTAACAATAGCTCTCACGACGTGTCTAATCAATCGTAACGATTTATCATAGTTCATCATATTCTTCTGAAAAACTTATTGTCATTTTTCTATCATTACGTCTATCGGATAATCCATCCTTATTAATAGCAGAACCGCCAAATGAATTGAAATAATCCACGTTGAATTCTATATAATAAATAACCTATGTCTTCTATAATTATTAAAATGGTACACATCTATTTCTGAGAAATAATTACATAAACTATGTCATGTAAATATCAATAACATATTTGAAAATCATCAAAATTGAAGCGAGCTAAGCACAACGACAATTTCACCAAATGTATTCTTAATCTTCATTTTTCAGTTACGGTTGCTTGTCGATGAAAATCTTAAGGAACTCAATGAAATCTTGGCCACTGCGAAACAAGCGATTGCCGTCTCTTCAGCAAACGTGAAATGGGTTCAAAAGTATTCATCTGTAATTGCTGATCGGCTGAATCAGTATATGTATACTGTATTTGAAAAGAAAGAAATTACGATTAACTGAAATTTTATTTTCTTCGTGAACAGTTTCAGTGAATAAATATGAAATAAACTGCATGAAACTTCATTCCAGCGTGTAGTATTTATAAATTCCTTACTTAATTTCACAGATTAATGTGAAACGTCAATATATACATAATGTAAAAGACGTTTCAAATTAAAAGATGTATCAAAGTTAGATCTAAAATAACAAATTAAACAATTGACAAAATTATTGTAAGTATCCTCTGGTATAAAAATGAATTGATTGACGAGCTTACTTTTACATAAATACGTTAAAATTTAGCTTACTTTGTCCGAAAAGTCAATTTTATTGTAGAACATTGTAAAAAAAATAACAGAAATGTGATATTACTTTATAAGAATTACGAATACCTGAGCATTCTGACGACATTTCCAATACAATCATGAAATTTCATCAAACATAATATTTCTTTATTAAAAGCTAAGGAAACCAATGCGAATGAAAGCTGATACAATCGAATATATTCAAAAAGTTACTGAAAAATGTTAATATCATTGTAAAAAGTGATAATATTACTACCATTAATCAATATTTCCAACTTTTTGTCAGCGATAAGCTGAATGATTATTGATAAGATCATTGATTACAACGATAAAGAATTTAATGAATTTAAGCGTAGAGATAAGTGCTCTTCTTACAATTCTGTGTATTATACAATTCAGCATTTTCGAGACTACTGAGAAATCAATGATTTTTTATAGAAAAAATAGAGTCTGTTCCAAATCCGTTTATACAATTACGATGTTTCGAAGTGGATTTCGAAATATTTTAGAAATTATACATTTTCATGACTTAATGACAAGATAATAGATAAACTGGCAGAACTAAAGTATGCTACGCAAACATTTGCAATAAATTCTAAAGGCTCCTATAGTGCATCGCAAACAGAGATTTCCACTGAACAATTAGTTACATAATGAATGATGTTCAATTGAAATATACAAGGTAGTAAAAATATTTTATTCATAGTTTGAGTAATGGTAAATTGTCGTCGAATCGTTACATCGCTACAATTTCGCCGAACATTTGAAATTTGAAAAATTGTCAAATGAAATTTTGAAATAAATTTTATTTATGGTCCATGTGGTTCATGTTCTTAACACTTAACCGTCAGCGATTGGCAGCAATTGATTACCGATACATTAATACGTATTTTGGTATATTTATGTTTGAATTATATTATTCACGTTAAAAAGTATTGTCTTTTATGAGAGTTGTACTAATTTTCCCAGGAAGAGTGAAACCTTTAAAGTGCAGCAAATTTTTCCGGTAGTACACTTCAAACTTTTACTTTAAAAGAGCTAGCCGTTTAATTGTTAACATGTTCACGTTCGGTAAAAATTTTAATGGGCTGCAAAAATAGAAAGAATGCAAATGCATAATAGTTCAAAAAAATTAAAGTTGTACAAAATTAAATGCATGATAATGTGACTTATACTTTTGAATATAAATTCTTTATTTTTTCAGATAAACATGTAACTCTTTTTTGTTTCGCAATTGGTTTCTCATTCAAATATACCATAGGCGCATTCGTCCTGGGTTTGGAAAGTACACACTTCAATTTCGCAAGGCCAGAGATTTTTCAAACTAAATCCCTCAGTTAACAGGTTAAGAGAAATTGTAATATTGAAGTTGACTTTCAAAGCTGCGAAAAAAAGTGAAATCGGTGCAAATTCCAGAAAATCGATCTACAAGCTGTAAAGAATTGTGTTTCAAGGAAAAATTATAATCGATAGCACCATGTGACAAACAGTGTATGACTAATTGATTTCTAAATAACGATTTCGAAGCAAGGATTACGTTTTATCAATTGCTTCCCTATCATTAAAAGACGAATCCGTTATTGTCGTTGCGCCCACTTTATTCATTCATTATATATGGCAAAGATATTTCCGGATACTTTGTTAAATTATAATCTATTATTAAAACGACAATAATAAAAGTTTACGTTAGTAAAAAGGGGCAAGAGGGTAAGGCAAAATGTCCACTGGTAGTCGCATACGCGTACGGTAAATGACGAGATGACGATTGCCGTACGTTTCAATCTCTCAACCGGTATAAACGTATATCAATAAATCATTGATTCACTTTATACATAATAAAGTGAACATTGGAGAATTCCAACGCTCAACGGGACCGGAAGGTTGCAATTATGAGGAGGTAGAATCAAATCCATTCCAAGAACCGAAGATTTTAGCATGATGGATGGATGTAGAAAAGGAAAACGCGAGTGAAGGAAAAAGAAAGACTTAGAATCGAAGCGTTTGGCGACATGCTTCCTTCTTTCAGGATAATTTTATGTGATACTAATCCCTTATGATTTATTCCACAACTATGATAGATACAACTACTTCATCGTTAATGATTTATTAGAAAAAGAACAAATTCTGACATCCGTTCCGTGTTTACGTTTACTTCAAAGGTTAAAGATTGATAATAGAAAATCGATATACAATTTATATTTATAAATAATAAATAACATTCGGACATCTGAAATTCGGTTTAAAATTTTCCTACATTATCTGAAAGTGAATTCTTCAATTCTAAGAATGATATAATCGGTTTTTGTAAACCGTTATCTATAAAACACAAGCTTAACACTTGTATCCGGGCGGACGACGGAAATTCATTATATTTCTCAGAAAATTACAAGTCTCAAAATAACGAAAATTCGAGATTTCAATCTTACATTAAATATAATAAAACAATGATGTTTCTTTCTTCAAACCTAAATTGATCGGAATGAAATGTTTACCGAATAGAGATATTTTTCTATGCGTGATAATGTAGAAGGTACTTTTGTATAAAATATAACCTTTCCATAAATTATGTTAGAACATGGCGGTCAAGAGAACACGATTCATAAAAAGATTGATAATTTAATCTATAGTATCAATAATCAGTTGTTAATAGTAATGGAAAAAAATATATCCAATGCATAGTGTTAATTAAGAAAGTAACGATCCCTATATATGCAACGTATAAAAAAACAAGAAAAAAATTAACACAGCACAAGTCGAAAAAGGTGGAAAATTCGTTTATTTATCCTTTTTATTTCCATAAATATTCATTTCTCGTAATAAAAATGAATCTTTTGCTTACAAATCACCTGTGTTCCATATTAGGAGTGATTTTTTCAGATCGCTGTTTTTGACTTTATTCTCACTTTTTACCGTGGTTCGAAGGTATTTAAATGTTCGCGTTAATCTCGATTAGCATACGAATGTTTATTAACACTAGAACTCTCAAGCATTTAATACGATTGATATGTAATCCCTATAAAAATTGAAACAATAGATTACTTTCTTTTTCTTCAGATATTCATTACAGTATTCAAGTGGAAGTATTTATTTTCAAAATCATTTCAAATATTCCATGCTTCTAAGAATATTGTGCACGATCAATCTAATTTTACAGGTTAATTACTATAACAGTTAAATTGACTTTTTGACATTTCTTTATAGAAATTCCGAGAATGCATCTATTGAGACTTAAATTCGTTTACAATACAGTTTGCGCATTGGCAAATCAATTTCTCTCGTAATTTATCAGAGAAACATCTGTTATCTTTTTAATAATGGCAAAAGGAAGAAGTCATGAATGGGTGATTTTGACCTGCCTGGTAGTTTTAGTGTTAAAATGTGGAAATAAATGCATAGATCATGATATAAAATTAGAATAATATAGTAAACAATGAGAATAACATTATACAAATGTTGATTAAATATTCATTGACAATCTAGTTTGATAGTCTATACTTACAGATATATGCTAATGATGCGTTTAGATTCAATATTGTTGGGCAGGAGTAAATTTATTTTTAATTGATTTCTGTAAAAGATAGTTATACGATGAATTGTAAAGTGTCGAATCAGGACTTCTTAGCGGTCAGCGTGTGAGTGGCAAACTGCCATCACCCACTCGCCTAATTCAACGTACAGCGGAATATTTTTGACGATGTAATTTCTCATAATAATAATAACGAAGCGTCAGTTCCCATTTTGAAAAATATTGAAACTGTCTATATCGTACTTCCTTTACAAAATAATTCTGTATTTTAAGTCGCTGCGAAAATATCGATTTGTCTTCGTAACAAATTAATTTCCGGTACAGTTTGGAGTGTAATCGTTTCAAGGACAAGAATCGAGAAGGTGTCATCTGTCACTCAAGAACACGGTGAACCGGCGTAATTAGTGTTCGGTACACGTGTTCCGAAATTCTCTGTACGCCAGGTAGGAACTGAGATCGGCCTCCGCTGCAGCGGAACATTGTTCTAGTCTGCTGATAACGAACGGACGAGACCGCCGAGGATTTTCTGGCATCTGCCCGGTTGCCAGCGTTCATTGGTTGCTGCGATTATCAACGCCGCCGATAAAAAAGCCGGCGGCTTAAAAGAACCTGCCTACTTGAACTCTCAACAGAATTTTGCAAACGTAATAGTTCGCCTACTATCAGCCGGTACACTTAACGAACTGCCGATAAGATTAAATCTGTGATTCCAATGTTAATCTTTCCTGTTGCCTGCTATATAAACAGAACGCATCTACGCGTGTAGCCTTAGAAACGATCCTCCGCCGACGTATAATCTCGTCGGTTGTACATTCGCGAGGTACGTCATTAAGATCACAAAACTCGAGCCGCGTCTCGATCGATCGCTGCCGATACTATCGAGCGAATCCTCTGCGCCGACTTTTTCGAACAAACCCTAGCCAGTGAGGACGGTATCCTAGATCATGTCCTTCTCGAAATGGTGCGTCGATTAACGATCTTAGAAATCGGACGTGGTCGACGGAAAGGACGCTTCCTCGACTTCCGTTCCGGTAAGATTCGGGACGAATCTTCGAGGATACCAGTGACGCATTCGGTCTGTTCGATGGACATTGGTATCAGTGACGATGGACGGTCTATTCCTCTGTCTTTAAACACCTGCACGCCGGTAATTATGAAAGTGTTTCGGAAAGGACCAT